AGTGTATAAAATATGTGCATATCAACTCCCCCACACTTAGGCTTTTGCTTGTCCTCAAGCAAAATAAACTACAAATACAATCTTTACATGTGTTGTTAGAATTTACATACATAATTTTACAAATCACACAATCATCTCTTTTGTCCACCAAACTATCCAAAACCCATGAATTGTCACAAAATAATAAAATGAGAGTAACTTGAGTAATATTGCCTATCCTAGAAACTTTCATGTTAATAATCTAACACAAACACCTATAGTGCTAAACTAGTTAAACTAATATAAACCAAGTTTCTCCAGTCCAATTGTTTTTGAAAGTGACACAAAAAGATCAATTAGGACTTTTATTCGGTTTGTAATGGGGCTAAGGCTAAGTGGGTAAACAAAGAAAGGGTATAAAGGATAAACAAAAAGAGATAGATTATACTTATTTTGATCAGGAACTCAAAAATTATTACAAATGTAACTATGGAGCAAGGTAAACAAATGACTCGAAAATGAAAAAAATGACAATTATTTTACAAAGAATACAGTAAATGGTACGGGCATTTTTTTATTTAATTACTTTTTATGCCCAAGAAGAATAAAGTCTAAAAATCTAAAAAGTTTAAGATTGGTGTGCTTTTTTCTTTTTTTTTTCAACTTTTTTTTATTTTTATTTATTTATTTTTTTTTTTTGCTTTTTTTTTTAATTTTTTTTTAATTTTTTTTTATTCTTTTTTTGAAGGCACACTAAGTTATTATTATCTTTACAAATACAAAGAATGTACAACTTTGATACAAAAAAAATGACATACTCAATTATTTACAAAAATACACACTGCTCCAATTAGTACTCCGTAACTTTTTTTTTAAAGTTCCTTCTCAAATAATAAGACAATCTACTCTAGGGTGGAAGGATAATTTATTTTGGCAAAATGGTTTAGGGTTAAATATTTACAGGGTAACAAAAAAAATGACAAATAAAAAATAAGTGTTAACACTTATTTAGAGAAAAAGGCTCAAAAGGGGACAACTAGGGATTTTTTTTTTTGAATTGGGTAGGCTTGGTTTGAGAGGTTAAACAAAGATGGCCTATATCATGTCTAAATGTGTCAAATTAAAACATCATTTCATGGAGAACAAATGTGAAACATCATGGTCTATAAAAGTTATAACTAAATTTAGCTAGTAAACCAATAAATTGAAAAAACTCTATGGTATTCTATGTTAAATTATTAACAGAAATTAACTCAAGGCTCAGACACAATTACTCTCAAGATGTTATAATGAAACAATTTTCAAACTCATACCACATTCCGTCAAAAGAGATGATTTTGTAATTTACAAGGTTATATATATAAATATTAACAAGACATATAAACAAAAAATTTGTAAGTTCAATTTTACTTTTTGGATCAAGACTGTTCATCATTCAACTCAAACAAACAAAAACAAAACAAAAATGAAAATTATTTTTTTTCTTTTTTTTTTAAATTGAAAATACACACAAAAAAAATCAAGTTTTATCTACCCACTCCCCCACACTTAAAATTTACACTGTCCTCAGTGTAAAATAAATGAAGGAGAATTAAGTAAACAATTCCTGAAAAAATTGGTAAATTGATTTTTTTTTGTACATGGCGTGAATTGGAAAACGCCTTATTGAAATTCAATTACCTTATTAAAACAAAAAAAAATGCAGAATTTGAAAACTTGGGTTGCCTCCCAAGAAGCGCTTATTTATGGTCATTAGCTTGACCAATGCAATCACTTATATTCAGGCATTTCGAGGAAATAGAGTAGCATTCCCTCTTGGTGATCGTTGGCAAGATAACGCTTCAAACGTTGCCCATTTACAATGAATTTGGCGTTATCTTTGCCACAAAGTTGCACAGCTCCTGAGGGAAATGCTTCCACTACCTCGAATGGTCCGGACCACCGGGTCCTCAGCTTGCCAGGGNCCAGCATAAGTTGCTCTCCGATAAAGTAATCATTGATCGGCATAGTTTTTGCTTCAGGAATTTCCAACCTTGATAGGTGGTCAGCAACCACATTTTCCGACCCCTTTCGGTCTTTGATCTCCATATCAAATTCTTGTAGTAAAAGAATCCATCTTAGGAGCCTTGGTTTGGAGTCTTTCTTTGCCATGAGGTACTTGATAGCAGCATGATCAGTGTACACAATAATTTTGCTTCCGATGAGATATGATCGGAACTTCTCAATGGCAAAGACTACCGCAAGAAACTCTTTTTCTGTTGTTGCATAATTGAGTTGTGCATCATCAAGAGTATGAATTGCGTAGTAAATGGCATAGACTTCTCTCCCCTTGCGTTGGCCTAGAACAGCTCCGACTGCATAATCACTGGCATCACACATGATTTCGAATGGTAAGTTCCAGTCGGGTGGCCTTATAATTGGAGCAGTTGTTAAGGCCATCTTCAGCTTAGAAAAAGATTCTTGACAATCAGCATCAAAATTAAAATCTACATCCTTGGACAGTAGATTTGTCAAGGGTTTTGAGATTTTAGAGAAGTCTTTGATGAAACGACGGTAGAATCCAGCATGACCGAGAAAACTCCGAATTCCTTTTACAGAATTCGGTGGTGGCAACTTTTCGATGACTTCAATCTTCGCTGGATCAACTTCAATACCACTTTTAGAGATTTTGTGGCCAAGTACAATTCCTTATGTTGCCATGAAATGGCATTTCTCCCAATTTAGTACAAGATTGGCTTCTTCGCATCTGCTCAGCACTTTGTCTAAATTCATTAGACAATCTTCAAATGAATTCCCATAGACAGAGAAATCATCCATGAATACCTCCATGGTCTCCTCGATGTATTCTGAGAAAATAGCAATCATACACCTTTGAAAAGTCGCAGGTGCATTACATAATCCAAATGGCATTCTTCAATATGCAAATGTGCCATAAGGACATGTAAATGTCGTCATTTCTTTATCATGAGGATGAATCGGGATTTGAAAGAATCCCGAGAAGCCATCTAGAAAACAGAAATAAGAATGTTTGGCCATTCTTTCTAGCAGTTGATCAATGAACGGGAGAGGAAAATGATCCTTCCGAGTGGCTTTGTTTAACTTCCGGTAATCAGTGCACATGCGCCAGCCAGTAACCATTTGGGTAGGAATAAGTTCATTGTTGTCGTTTTTAACAACGGTAATTCCTCCCTTCTTTGGAACCACATGAATAGGGCTAACCCATTTGCTGTCTGAAATGGGATAGATGATTCCCGCTCTCAACAACTTTAGCACTTCTTTCTTGACAACGTACTTTCATGTTTGGATTAAGACGTCGTTGGTGCTCAATGCTTGGTTTATGTTCCTCCTCAAGATAGATGCGGTGCATGCAATATGAAGGATTGATTCCGACAATATCATCAATGGTGTAACCAATTATCCTCCGGTGCTCCCTAAGGACTTTAAGCAGCTTCTCCTCTTGTTTGGCATTTAGGGAAGAATTGATTATCACCGGAAAAGTAGAATCGGGCCCAAGAAAAGCATACCTTAAAGTAGAGGGAAGAGGTTTGAGCTCTACTTTAGGTATTTCATCATTTTTGGGCATAGGCTCCTCTTCAAGATTAAGAACTTCAAATTTTTCCGGTTCCTCCATTGGTTCGGAGAGATGATCTAAAATCTCCAAGCATGAGTTCACGATCTCATTTGATTGTTTCTCTTCAACAGCTTGGCATATGGTGTACTCTATTGGATCTCTTGAGAGTAAATAAGATTCCTCAAGAGTTCCAAGAATACATGAATCAATGATATCCACGTTGAAACAATCAAGAACGCATGCAGCATTCTTACTCAGCTCTTGCACATTGAACTCGATCTTGTCATCCCCGATTTCAAGGATGAGTGTACCCTTCTTCACATTTATGATTGCTCCAGCAGTTGCTAGAAATGGCCTCCCGAGAATGATAGGAACTCGGGCTTCTTCTTCTATATCCAAGACAACAAAGTCTCCTGGAATATAGTATTTATCGATCTTCACGGGAACATCTTCGAGAATACCGATTGGGTATTTGACAGAGCGATCAGCCAATTGTAGTGCCATGGTTGTTTGTTTTGGATCACCCAAGTGTAGCTTTTGACATAGAGAATATGGAATCAAGCTAACACTTGCACCAAGATCACAAAGAGCTTTGTTTACTTTAGATCCTCCGATGTAGCATGGAATTGAAAAACTTCCAGGATCACGTAGTTTTGGTGTGATCTTATTTTGGATAATGGCACTGCACTCTTGACTCATGGCCACCGTGAGAAGATTTTCCTTCTTCTTTGTTAAGATCTCCTTGAGAAATTTGGCATATGAAGGAATTTCGGTGATGGCATCAAGCAAAGGAATAGAGATATCCAATTGCTTGATACGGTTCAAGAACTTGGTTCTTCGTTCCTCAATATGTGATTTCTTGAGTCGGTTTGGAAAAGGAATTGGTGGAGCATATTTCCTTACCAAACCTTCTTCTTCTTTTTTCTTCACTTCTTTGATCTGGATTGATTCTGGAAGCATTTCAGCAGCATCTCCTTTGATTTTGTTCTGTGCTTCTTCTTTGACATCCTCTCCTCTTTCTTCTTCAGGATCACTACTCGGAAGAGATGGAGATTGAATTTGTTTCCCACTCCGAGTAGTGATAGCATTCATTTGCTCTCTTGGATTCTCAGGACAAGCTGGCAATTTCCCGGTCACCTTTGTTGATGATGTTGATGCTTGACTAGAGATTTGATTT